AGACTGTTGTTTAATCTAGCCTCTCTTTTTCGGAGAGTATGAGCGGCACAAATGGCACTAGAATTATGGGGTAAAGCAATTTAAAGCAATAGTTCTCAAACAGACGGGGAACTCCTCCTTACAGGACTATTCAGAAACACCGAGGAAATGTTTTCAAGAACCACACGACCCCAATTTGAAGATAGTAGTGGCCAGAGAGCACCTTACTGATGGGAGCATGCCACATCTCTCAGGTGTGCCGGGGGAAGTAAAGGGTTGAGAATCACTGGTCAGGCATTCTGAGAGTTAAAGTGAACAGAACACATGAAACTAAAAGATGACTGGTTTCTATTTATCCTCCACTCTTTATTGGAGGATTGTTTGTTTTTCTTTTTTTCTTTCTTTCTTTTCCTTCTTTCTTTTTTTTTTTTTTTTTGGTTCCCCCAGACCCTGTTTGCTAGAATTTAATGGAACTTCTAAACTGTAAAGGAAAATATAGGCTGATGGGAAGTGGGTACTCTGCGGGGCAACAGGACAAGTCTGTAAAATCCAGAATGAAGTTAAGAGATGAAATTTGAGCATGCTTGTTAGAGAAACATGGAAAGATGTTAAAAGGAGAACCTGTTTACTAAACCTCATGGCCAATTTAGTGCATCTTTAGTAATTGTTTAGTTTTCTGATTTACAAATTCTACCATTATGATTTTTTAAGTTTATTTATTTTTAAGAATAAAATAAACACCCAACATAGGGCTCAAACTCACAACCCCGAGATCAAGTCTCATGCCCTCCCAACTGAGCCGGCCAGGTGCCCCATACAATTATTATTATTTTTTTAATGCACTGGGCTCCTTCCTAACCAGTCTGCATAAATGTGAAAGTGCTCTGGAGGGAAAATGCTATAGAGACACAAGTTATAACTAGACAGGTTTTTGTCCAATATGTAATCTTTCCCTCCCAACCATACACACACAAAGAGGTGGAGATTTACTCAGTGGTCACAATAATTATGGGAGCGGGAAAGGAACTAAAACCTGTTAAGTGTCTAGGATGTGCCTAATACTTCGCATATATTGTACATTATCTTGTGTGATTTTAGCAGTTTGACTCAGACACTAATGTCCCATTTATATGTGTCGGTGGTGTAGTGCTACGGCAGCCCTGGCAAACTAATGCACTATCCCATCATACTTCCATGTACTACTCAACATGCAGTCCTTATGAGTGATCCTGGAAAACAGCACACTATTCTCGTCCCTAACTATTTGGCGGGGGAGGGGCAGAGGGAGAGAGAGAATCTTAAGCAGGCTCCACACACGGTGGGGAGCCCGACACAGGGCTCGATCTCACAACCCTGAGATCACGACCTGAGCCGAAATCAAGAGTTGGATAATTAACTGACCGAGCCACCCAGGTGCCCCTCTTGTCCCTAACTTTTATCCAAGCTAGAATTACTGCCTGATTTTCTTCATCCGTTGCTTAAAAGCACAGGGTTTTGAAGTCAGACAAACCTGGGTTCAAATCCCAGCTCCATTCACTTAACAATCATGTAGCTTTAGTTAATTTCTCTAAGACTCTGTTTTCTCATCCATAAAATGGAAACATCAACTGCATTCAGTTAGTATGTATGTTAAATGAGGTAGTGTACATGATATGCGTAGCACCACTCCCAGGATACAGTATACATTCAATGATGATAGTTACAGTTATTATCCATTTTTCAAAGCTCCATTAATACTTGCTTGTTAAGCATTCTGGCCTCTTTGGACCACCAGCCAAACTTGAAGAGAATATAGAAGGGAATCATGGAGTCAAGTTTGGACTTGACTATAGAGTCTTGATGCCACTGAAAATGTTGGAGTTCGTGTCATAACCCGCGGGGAACCATTCAGGATTTTTGAACTGGGAAAAGCATGACCAAAGCCATGCTTAGGAAGGACGAAGCAGCAGCTGAATGTAGGCGATCATGACAGTCTACAGTTGTGACTGGTCCTAAAGGATGGAATGAGAGTGGTGCCTATGGGAATAGAAAGTGGGGAATTGTTTAGAAATATTTCAGACATATACTCTATGGGACTGGCAACAGACTGAACACAGAAAGACAGGAGAGAGCCAGAAGTAACTCCAACTCCTGAAAGACTGATAGAGTGGTAGCACCATGAACAAAGATATGGAAGCCAGGGGGAGGAGAGTACAGGAGGCATCGAGTTTGATTTTGACCTCTACATTCCACTCCGTGTGCAGCTACCACTCCCTCTCACCCCTTATCTGCAGTCTGATCAGGGCAGTCTCCATGCCCTTCCCTTCCAGTAAAACTTCAAGAAGCCATTTCAAAATTAATTCACACTGAGACATAAACAGAAATCTTTCCCAAAGGCTATTTGCGTTTTAAAAGAGGCCTCCCAAAATGAACAAAGGAGATGAAATCTGGATAACTGACAAACGTAAGTGAGGTATGAGATGGGGGGAGCATGTCCTTCAATATTATTATCACCATACATTTCCCTTCCTATTTGCTACAAGCACTTTGTTCTGGCTGCAATCTGGCACCATCCCTAGATTTTGACATTAGTGCTGTGTCTAAGAACCCTTTCTTATCTTAACGCTGGATGGTGTTCAACGCCACAGATAAACAAAACTGTTTTCATTGCCTGTTTAAAAGATATGAAGCGTTAGCACAGAGCAGCGGGACTGGGAAGCTCTGTGATATATCAGTGTCTGCCACCTTCAGATAGTTCCAGTTCATCTATCACGTTACTAGAGATGCCAAGTATAAATTCAGCAGTCTTGCCCAGTGATCGTTTTTGGTTTCCTCCAACCCTTGTCTTCCCTAATTAAACCCCCCTCCTTTACCCTTTGCAAAGGTATGAAATAGAAACTTCTTACAGTCTTCAAAATAGGTTTTCACAGATTCAAAAATAATTAAAAATTCATTTTTTTCCACTCTGGGTTATTCGGATTTTTTTCCCCATTCTGTGTTCAACCAAAACTCATGGAGTGACCATGTGCTTACTCTGCAGAGGGAGGGGAGGGGGTGGACGAGAGGAAGAGGAGAGTGAAAACTGAAGTCACACAATTCCCATCCTCAAGGCGTTTTCAGTTCAGTTCATCTTCATTCACATCTGTGGATCACCTCTGTAGCTCTGATCCTTGAACCTCCCACAAGCCTCTTAGGTTTCTTTTAAATATAGGAATCCATAGCAAGGGGCGCACATTTGCAAAAGGATCTGACCCATATGGAATCTAAGTGCATTACCTCAGTGATTCTCATAGGAGTTATTCCCAGCCGTGCATTTGTTTGTGTGTACCTTGTAATATGTGGACAGGTAAGGGTGAGGCTGATTCGTTTTAAGAGTTGTGGTGCTGGGGGCGCCTGGGTGGCTCAGTCGTTAAGCGTCTGCCTTCGGCTCAGGTCATGATCCCGGGGTCCTGGGATCGAGCCCCACATCGGGGTCCCTGCTCAGTGGGAAGCCTGCTTCTCCCTCTCCCACTCCCCCTGCTTGTGTTC